GAGTATCCCCACTCCATCCAGACTTCCTTCGAGGGGAGATCGTTTCTTATCGCCCTGGCACCCCCTAAGCTGGGCTGATGCACCGGCCGGTCATTCTGAAAACAACTGAATAGCAGCATTGAACGACGCGAAAAGGGTGATACCTACTGCCTTGGGGTTGTCGCAAGCTTGTAGCCATGGCTCCGAGCCAGCTGTGCGGATCAAGGGCTAAGAATCCCTTCAAGGCAACGCTGCGGGACAAGGTCAGAAACATCCCAACACCTGTCACGTGTATAGACCCCCCCAAACGGGACAACCATGCAACACATTGAAAACATGTGCACCGTTCACAAACACACACACACACAGAGAAACACACCCATGCTACGCCTGAAGGTTCCCATGTGAACCACGCGGTTTGACCCGAAAAACCCTCCACCCTCCGTTCACACCAACCCCCTCTCGATCCTCTTGAAGTGGATGGACCATGGATGAAAATGGGATGGATTGTGCGCTGTTGGTGTTCTTGGATGGCCAAGACATGCCAAGACCTCCACGGAGGGAACTCTGAAGTTGATGGTCAAACCCCATACTTGGGTACACGGCCTACGATTGAGGGACCAACCAAGAACACCAAGAATCCCCCCAGACCATCAATCTCCCACCAAACAGGGGTGGTTGTCCATCGCTTCGGTGCGAATTCAATCGTATTCAATTGTAATAGGCTAGTGGCCAGACCAACGGCTTAGCTTCTGCGCCAAACAAGTATTCAATTCTATAAGTTTCTCCATTTTGATTGATACTGCTCCGCTCAAGGGGTACCTAGCTGGTTGAATCTGATCTCAGAACCCGAGCCTAGAGTAAGCGAGGGTCAAACATCTTGAGACCTGAAAAGGAACTTATGGAACTTCGTACTTTAGCACATCTCGAGACCACTCCAGGATGAAAGGATGAGCTCTTAACCACTTCGTTCGGTACATTCGAAGACTTTCACTCCGAGTCGGCGACCACAGCGGCGCACAGCGACCGGCTGGGTCGGAACGCATCGCGGACAGGGCATCGACCGCACCAGCTGGAGGATGGTGACAGACTGCATCGTGACAGCTGGTAAGGAAAACCAGTGTTCGTTCCAGGGGGCATTTCAGGGTATTGGATCAGCGGTGCTGTGAGCTGTATCAATCTGTATCAACTTGCCACTACTTACAGGTAACTAGCTCCCCTCCAGCTGGGGCCTCATTAGCAGCAAAGAAATGGAATACAAGGAAAAAACCAGGAGAGAAGCACGGCCGGTTTCAACCCAATTAAGAACAAACTACATCCAGAATCCAACTACGAGCACTTCCAGCTCACCAAAGCAAAGTGCTCCTGGTTTCATCCTGGTGTTTCCACTTCTAGGATAGCACTCGTTTGATGGACACGAAGAGCACGGATCCAGGATCCTCTCAGGGCAAGGGCCTTCCCTGCTTCACAAAACAGCAAACCGTCCGGGCAAGTGTGATGCTTCATCCGGACAACTGAAATCAGGTCCCTGCAACACATTGTTATTCTTTTCTACCTTGTACTTTGCAATGGTCACTTCTTAGGGAAGCGAGTGGAGAACATCGCAGCGTGGCAATTATATATATAATTTAATATGGAATAGTTGTGCTCCTGAATGGCTATTGTCATCTATTGTCGCTGCACAATGCATCTTCACCGCAAAGTGTGAACCCAAAGGGCGCAATGATTGTTGGAGTGTGCCTTTTTACCTGGGAGTGACTTGGTTCACTCCACTCACACCAATTATGGTCATTGATTGTTCCAACATTCACTGAGACTGATGGGGAACCAGGTAGAATGAGGTCACAAGCCCACACATGCCACCAGGTCCAGTGAAAGAATGCAGCTTCATTAGATCCTTGAAGGATCAATGGCACTTGCATAGGCACATGCATACAAGTGCTTCCATGCCCCGATTGGTTCCTTTTAAGCACAGCTAAGAAGGGGACAGCTCAGGAGAGTCTGCCACGAATTCGGCGCTGGGCGCCTCACTATCTAATTCGGTTTCTGTGTCGCTATCCAAGGCGGTGGGAGGCGGCTGTGAAGATGGAGCCTCAATGGGCAGTTGATGACCGTCCAAGTCAACAGCACTCGTGCACTCAAGAATTCCCCCCCCCCAAAAAAAAGTATATTACATTTACAGCACAATAAAAAAAATATATTATATATATATATACACAGTAAATCAATACAGGCTCAAGATCTTGGCTCAAGAGCGGTTTCCCGGCCCACGCTGGGTACTTCACGTCTTCCAGAACATCGCTCTGGAGTCCAAGAAGGGAGGCCACACCTTTCTGCTGGACTACATGGCCAGAGGATCGTGGGCCCGCTCTTACCAGTGCTGCCGAGGTGCGGATTGCAGCAATTGGATTTGGGAAGATAAGGTGGCTGAAGGGTATGTCTGCCGCAAATGCGACCTGGCTTGGAGGCAACCAGCTCAAGGTTTTCGGGACCGCTCGAAATCTCAACCTCGAGGTCGTCATGCTCCTCGCCAGAAACCCATCACACCCCCGCCTGGCCTAGGAGGGGGCAGAGTTTCCAAAATCTCACAGGTACACAAGGCCACCACTGACCTTCTCATGGGCTCGTGGGGCAGCTTGGACCCCAAATTGCAGCAACAGCTCGAACAGCTTGGCATCAAGCCCGCTCCGCCCACCGTGGAGGCTGATGATCTGACGAGTGTCCTCAAAGAGAACATGGCCCAGCTGCCCACTGCAGTGAAGGACTTGGTGGAGAAGATTACCAAACCTCCACCAGAAACGGAGAAAGACATGGCCATGAAGCTCAAGGCACAGGTGTCACATCTTCGAGACCTGTCCCACAAGAAGCAGGTCCTGCAACAGAAGCTGGACAATGCCAAGAAAACCTATGGGGACATGCTTGAGGAGATGAAGACCATACAAACCAAGCTGGAGGCTGAACAAGGGGCCCTTCACACCACCTCCGCGGCCTACATGGCTTTGGTCAACACTAGCAAGCCGGCCACTGAGCTCCATGAAGGGGAATCCATGGAGGACACTGTGCCCAATGCAGTGGCAGGTTTCATTACGACCCTTGGGGTCAGTTTGACAGAGGACCAGAAGGCCCAGCTCACAACGATGCTGAAGCGCCCTCCGGCTCCCATTACTGAGGACGAGAACAAGCGACGCAAAATGTTGGAGGAGGTTCAACAGTGTGGGTAACCTGATGCCTAGGGATTCCTCCCTGTTGCACTTTGCTTCTTGTGTTTTTGGGGCTGCTGGTGCGGGCCATCAGCCACTCAGCGATTCTCAATCGAGTTGCGGGGTTTTTGACAACTTGGTTGATTCTTTTGCAGTTGGAGGCTCGAGACGAGCCAAGGGTCGCCGCGGGGGCTATGGTCCTTGGCGAAAGCCTCCTCCTTTCAAGTTGAGGGGGGGACACTCAGATCCTCCCTTGGGGCCAGAGAGCAGTTGGGCTAGCCGCGGGGCACCGAGTTCCTCTACCTCAGTGCAGACCTCTCGGGGTTCTGCAGTTGACGGGACCCCACAGGCCAAGCTTGCTGCTCTTCTGGTGGACCTCATGGACGATGACATCAATCGTCCAGCTTTTTCAGTTTTGACGGCCGGCCAACAGGCCCTCTATGACTTATGCAAGCGAGACCTTGATTCTTCGCGGGCAGACTTTGAGCAGAGTTGGTCCTTGGTCAAGGGTCAACAATTTCTGGTTGATTTGAGAAGGATGGAAAACACACTTCACAAGCTCCTAGCGGTTCAAGGTGATGTTCCTCATCTTGCCACTAACGTCTATGTTGTGGCTCAGGCTCTGACCAGCATCCTCTCCAACCCGCACAACATGTGTTTTGCCAATGCGGTCCTGCGATGCTGGAGTTGGGCAGGGGCTCATGCTGAAGACCAGTCCATAGCTTGGGGCCGGACGCATGGTGCGGTTCGGCAATTTCTGGGGGCCGACCAACCATCCTTGCTGAGCAATTTGGATCAAATGCACCATATTCTCCAACACTTCCAAGAAGGTACTCAAGCGGATGTTGGGGATTTTGCAGGCCTCTTGTGGAACTTTGCGGACAGCACCTTCTTCGGTGGCAAGTTCTTTCATGTTCACCCTGATGGACGGCTTGAGGACAGAGAACAAGTTCCCCTCAACATGCTGTTCCCACCGGGAGACGCGGCCATCTCTTTGGATGAGATTGTCAACCAGTGGGCTGACGAAGAAGGCGGGCAATACCTTTATGGGGCTCCCGATGGCCTCATCCTGCACCTTCAACGGTCGGCTTTGGTACAAGGGCGCTGGACCAAGCATGACCGGCCTTTGGATTTCTCCACCAGCGTCAACATTCCCTTCTCGGAGGATGGCATTCATGTTCATATGGCCACCTACAGGATTGTCAGCCTGGTTTTGCATCAAGGAGAAGGGCATGAGAACGGGCACTATGTGTGCATCCATGCCATGGACAACACCTACTGGTTTGCTGATGATGATCAGTATCCTGTTCCCATGTCCAACATTTCGGATCAGCAACGGAAGGAGGTTGTCCAACTCTGGCTGATTCATGACAACCAGGGTGAGCTTGTGCCGGATGCCGTTGAAGCTATGGAACCCAGTCAGCCCAAGCGGGCCAAGCATCACTACGAGACCTTGCACCTCATCTTTGGGAACGTGACCTTCTTTGGCGCTCGCGTTCAGGATTGGATCTGGACCAAAGAAGACCACCTTCTCTTTTTGCAAGAGACTCATTTGGGCCCCAAGAAGCTCAACGAGGCC